CCTGCAGTGAGCGGGCTGGGCTGGGCCCGCCGCACAGCTGCCGGGTTGACCGCGCCGCGCCACGCCCACGCACGCCGCTGCCCCCGCTTGCGCTCGCCTCCAGCCAGCTGAGCTGCACCCGCCCAGGCGGCTCGCCGGGCTGGGCCCAGCGCGCACGCTGCGCGCATGGCTGCGCCCTGCACCCGCCTGACCGGGCCGCCGCCGCGCCGTCGCCACCCGGCCGTCCAACACTTGCAGGGAGCTGGCGGGCGTGCACCCACGTGATGGCATCCTGTACCTCACCCCCTTCCGTGCCCTGGAGCGCATCAGCATGTGCGGCACCTCCAGGTGTGTGCGACTGACAAAGGGAGAGCAGCACGCCACCGGCACGCAGCCAGGCCGCCCGGCACCTGCGTCTCGGCGGGCGCCGCGGCATGCTCGCCGCCCTCGCCCCTCCACTCCCGCCTCTCACCTCCGCTGCCTCCCCTGCCTCCCCGCAACCCCTGCTCCCTGCCTCCCCTCGCCCCTTCCCTGCCTCCTCTCCTCCACACCTTCCCCCCCGCGCAGCGAGACCTGCAAGCTGACCATTCTGGAGGGCCTTCCCTGCCTGAAAGAGGTGGTGGCCTGCGGGTATGGGGAGTACGTGACCGAGGGCCTGCCTGCCTCGGTGCAGCGCCTGGACCTGCAGGTGGGGCTCCGCCTCCCCGCCTGCCGGCGCGCCCAGCCCGCTGCCGTGCACGCAGCCGCCCGCCTCGGCGCAGCGCCTGCACCGGCATGCCCGCCTGCTTGCGCAGAGGAGGCCTCCTCATCATTCACAGCTGCCCGCCCGCCTTGCACACCGCACGTTGCCTTGCCCTCGGGGAACCGCCCCACCCACTCACCCACCCACCCACCAGCCCCACCACGCCCGCTCCACGCGCGCTGCGTGCAGTGGGCCGTCAACGCCGCCTCCTCCTCCCTCGTTTACTTTCACGTGCCCGAGCGCTGTACGCTGGCGGAGCTGGCGCTGTGCTCGCAGCGCCCCGTCTGCCTGCCCGCGCCCTGCCTGGCGCGCTGCGCCTCGCTGCGCGTCACCGCCCGCCGCGCCTACCTGGGCCTGCCGCTGCTGGCGGGGGCGCCCTGGGTGGACGTGGATGAGCTGGCGGCGAGGTTTGCGCAGGTGAGGGGTGCTCCATAGTACGGGCCCGCCGGCCTGCTGCCTGCCTGGGTGGGCAGCTGGCGGGGGCAGCCAGCTGCCGTGCAGCAGGCGCCTCTCTGCCGCGGCTCGTCCACAGCACACGCGCCGGCCTTGCTTGCCCGCCCCGCCTGCCCCATGCCCGGCTTCTCACCCGCCGTGCTGCCCGCCGCACGCCCTCCCCTCCCCTTGCCCTGCCCACAGTTCATGCTGTGCAGCTCTCTGGAGGCGGTGGAGGTGACAGCCACCCGCTGCTTTGTGTTCCAGCCGGTGCAGGGTGAGCCCTCCCGCGCTCCCGCCCGCGCTGGCGCCTGCTCGCTGCTTCTGCCGTCGCTCCTGCCTCCTGTGATGCTGCTCCCGTTCTGTTGAACGCCCCACCACCCCCGCCACAGCGCACAGATGCACGGGAATCACACACACACACACACACACACACACACACTCACACACACAGCTCCCTCCCCGCACCACCACACCCACCCCCTGCTGCAGACCCCTTTGACCTGTCGACCAACGAGGGCCTGGGCGGCATCTCGCAGCAGGAGCAGCTGGCCACCGTGCTGCTGGCCCGCCACTTCCAGTCGCTGCACGTGGAGCAGCGCATGCTGGCGGTGGGGCCCTGCCGCCGCCGCCTGCCGCTTGCCGCCGCCGCCGCTGTGGCAGGCCGCGCCGCAGCAGCTCCCAGCCCCAGCCCTCGAGCCGGCCTGCCTGCTCATCCTCCCCTCCCCTGCTTCCTGCCTTCCTCTGCCTGCCCTCGCCTCGTCTTGCCTCCCCACCCTCCATCTGCCCTGCCTCTTGACCCTCCCCCATCCCCTGCCACCTCACCCTCCCACTCGTCCCCTCCCCCTCCTTCTCCCTCCGCAGGTCGGCGCCTTCCGGGCATACATGCGCATCACCCGCCGCCGCACCGAGCCCATCGCCTTTTCCTTTCAGGCCCAGCTCAACGCGGAGCAGGCGAGCCCTCGGGAGGCGCACAGCGGTGGCCGCAGCTGCGCGGCG